AAAAAAAGAGATAGTAATTACATTAACTTACTTTTTTATTATGGAAATATTTTCTACAAAGAGCATCAAATTGTGGAGACTTCATTTCAGAATAACATAACATTCGAGGATAACCAACTTCTTTGAAGTTCACAAATTGTTTCTCTTGGAAAATAGGAAGTACTTCCATAATCCAGACACAAAACGCAAAAGGAAAGCCAACTAAAGTGTAGCTATCAATATCTTTTTCTTTTTCTTTCTCCTTCTCAACATCATTCTTATTTGATTTCAAGCAACTCTTCAATGATTTTAATAGCGTCTCATAAGCAAGAGAGCCCCAGTTGAAGGAAGCGCAAAGTGGATCATCGTCAATAATTTTCATTATTTACTCCGATACATTCCTATTTTTCCTCTTGCCCATCAAAACCGACTCAACAAAATAGAGTGTTGCCAACTTCAAAGCATCATCATCACTGCCAGCAAATGATGAAGTTGTACCATGTGGGCGACTAGAAATAAAACTATGCAAATCAACTAACTCAATTTTGTCCTTTCCAGGGAAATAGACTCGTAAAAGCCTATTCTCTTTCTCATTTAAACCTTTCATGTCAAGCGACAAATAAGACTTCAAACCAGTAATAATATGGAATGCATCACGAGTAAACTTAATATCGCGGTCAAATACCTTGAAGGTCATCGAATCAGGTTCATTACTAACAATTTCAGAAAGCAATACACAGTGCATAAGTTTACCCGAGAACTTCACACTTTGTAATCTGAAGAAGTTGCCAAAAATACTTTCCCTCAATTTCTTCCATTGGCTATTCGACAGAAAACTTTTAATTGTTTCCTTATATTGAAAATCTCCTTTCCAATATACCAGAAAATTACGCCAACCGTCAAAATCAAACAAATGATCGCCTTCCATTATAACACTAGAAAAGAAGGAAAAACAAACAAAGATTAGGACTTAACTTAAAATTTCAAGTTTAAAAGTTAAGCAAATACAATCCTTAACTTTAAATTTTAAGTGCAAACGTTAAAGAAATGCAGTCCTTAACTTATACTTTCAACATCCAAAGTTAAGGACACTTAGTCCTTAACTTCAAGTTTCATGTGCAAAAGTTAAGGACAATAAGTCCTTAACTTTAAATTGTAAGTGCAAAAGTTAGGGAAATACAGTCCTTAACTTATACTTTCAACATCCAAAGTTAAGGACACTTAGTCCTTAACTTCAAGTTTCATGTGCAAAAGTTAAGGACAATCAGTCCTTAACTTTGAATTCCAACTACAAAATTTAATGTCGTTTCTTCCTTACATTTAATGAACACAGTTAACTGAAAATTCATAATCACAGTAAGCTTATGAATTTCTACGACTATTTTTATGAAATATACCTACATAATCAAATATATTGAATCAACCACAAACACATTTCAAATTTCACACACTAAAAATTTATCAAAAACAGAATCACACAAAATATACTACACTGAATCAACATATAATGCTAATTTTTGAAATTTCACACATACTTCACACGGCATTGAACCAACTTACACATAAAGAAAAACGAAAATGCATAAAAAAAAAACATATTACCAGTCGCGATTGACAGAAGATGACGGAGAAGATGAAAGAGCAGAAGTTTATCTGAGATTGCAGTTTGCATGCGAGGAAGATGAAGAAGCGCAAAACACGGAACCCTGAACCGCTCTCGTCTGAACTCTGAACGAATGGAAATAAGGGTTTTCGTCGATTTTGGGATTATACAAGAAATAGAGAAAGGGTAATTGTGTCTTTTCCCCCTTAGTAGTGGCTATTTTTTATAAGCATTTTAAATAGTGGATAAAAATTAAATACACCCTTATTTAGCGGCTACTACACGCCATTTTTACCCATACACCAGCCAACTAACAGTGTCAAGTGTAATTTCACAAACAAGAGGGGTCGTTTTTATCATTTCCATAAGTTAAATTGAGGTCCATAAAATTTTAGAAAATAACCACAAAGGATAGAGAGAGAGCTTTTCAATCCTCACTTTATCCATATACCAATAGCTTCAGAAAAACAAAGCTCAAATGTCACTAACAATGGCTTCTTCATCTTCAACTTCACTATTCTCCACATTTCTCAACCTTTCCCCTCAAAAAGCTACTGGTTTTACTTGCCGTACATCAGTTAAAATTCCATCAATTACCCAGAAAACTTCCCTCAATCTCAGTTCTTCACATAACATTTCAGCTTTTGCCCCAATTGTCTTTAACAAAGTCTCATTTGCTGCAACACCCACTAATGGAAATCCACAGCCGTTGACTGTAGTGTGTGCTAAAGGGTACAAAATGAAGACCCACAAAGTAAAGTTTGCATTTTAATCACTTTTTTATGTTTTTTTTTTTTTTTTTTTGTGTGTGTATGTTGTGGAAGTTTGGTGATGAATGTGAATTGGGTGTTTGAATTTGTGATAATCTTGGAAATTTTACGCTGCAACATCCACTAATGGAAGCTGACTGCTCTTAATTGTAGCGTGTGCCAAAGGGTACAAAATGAAGACTCACAAAGTAAAGTTTGCATTTTTCTCAATATTTTTTTTATGTTTGTGTGTTTGGTTTTTATATGTAGGAGGTTTTTTGTGGTAATTGTGATTTTGGGTGCTTGAATTTGTGATAAGCTCGAAATTTTCAGGCTTCAGCAAAGTAAAGTTTCTATTTTGCTCGCTATTTTGATATTTTGTGTCTGTTGAGTTTTGATGATGAATGTGAATTGGGTGTTTGATTTTGTGATAATCTTGGAATTTTCAGGCTTCAGCAAAGTCTGCTTCTATTTTGATGTTGTGTGTGTGTGTGTTTGATTTCCATATGTGCAGAGTTTATTTGTGGTAATTTATATTTTGGGTGTTTAAATTTGTGATAATCTTGGAAACTTCAGGCTTCAGCAAAGTAAAGTTTCTATTTGCT